CATTGTACCTGTCTCCTTTCTCAAGGATGTAACTCCCTTATCTGCAATTCCACATGGCACAATATGTTTAAAATAGTTCAAATCAGGATCAATGTTGAATGCCAACCCATGAGAAGTGATTCCATTTGAGATCTGAACACCAATTGCACCAATCTTTCTCTCTCCCACCCAAACCCCTGTCTCACCCTTTTGTCCGGCACAAGCTTTCACTCCATACAGAGATGCTAACTCAATCATGGTTAACTCCAGTTTCTCCACATAGTTCCGAGCACCAAGCCCAATTTCACGAAGAGAAATTATAGGATATAAGATGGCTTGATGTGGACCATGAAATGTAATGTCTCCTCCCCTCTGAGTATAATGAAGTTCAGCTCCTATCTTTTTCAATTGAGACATAGGGATCAACATATTGTGATCAGTACGCCTTTTGCCTAGGGTATATGTAAGTGGGTGTTGCAAGGAAAGGAGAGTGTCTGAAATCTTGTTAGTTTTTCTATCAGAGACCAATTTCTTCTGCAGCTTAATAGACTCCAAATAGTTGATGGTGCCCATTTTCCATACCTCAAGACACCGTGCTACCCTCATTTCCTGTAGAACATGACATGATTAACACATCACTGATTTGCTGTCACATGATATCATATGAAACCACAGCATTTATGTTATTATCACATGCTGTCCACTACCAAATACAAAATAAGGAGACATGTTTGGCAGAATCTGATACAAAAGGAACTAGCAAAAATGACAACTAATCAACCATTATTGAAGGCAAAATTAGGGCGCTGAGGTAGTAAAGGATACAGAGTTAAATAACATATTCCAACTCAATGGCAATGATAAATTAGACAGCATACCAGTGACCCTAGCTAGAACCACCATCCTTCTCATCCACAAGACAGTAAATTTAAAGATTAGATTGGCTTAACAGAACCATCTGGCTAAGAATGCAGATTTAAAGGCATCAAAGGTTACCGCTAACATAACAGCTATCTCTCATGCCAAAAAAAATAGATATTTGATTTTTAATTTGGAATCCACATTTTTCACCCTTTTACAAGGATAAAAATAATGTGAAATACTACTCAATATGATTAGACCTTGCACTATGAAACGCAGCAAACACGAGAATAATGAGGTCCCAATTGAACAAAACTAGAGCTCATCTCCAGCATGTAGGTTCTTCAAAACAGCATATTGCTTATTGAAGCATTTTATTAAACACTCAATTAGCTTATAATTGTAACTGACAATTCGGGTACACTTCCATGGCAATAATTTTATAAGAACGCCACTTTCCTTAGTACATGAAATGAGTCAAAAATTGATGTGGGTATTATAGAATTTGAGGAAAAATTAAATCTTTTCCACTCTCATGGAAATTTAACATCTTAAATACATCCAAAAACCGCATACAAGCATGATTTCGCAAAGTTCAAATCATATCGCTAAAAAATTTAACATTTTATTAGGCTTAAAGGAGAAAAAAAAGAGTAAATATCAATAAAATTAAAAGATTAGTGAAAGAATGAAAGAAATAAAGAAAGAAAAAGCAAGAGCTTACCTCCTGATATCTGCAATTCCAACAATATCACGCCGGAGAGAGAGAAAGGGTAGGAAAGAGAGATGAAAACGACGACGGCGGAAGGAGTGGTGTCAGGTGAAAACGACGACGTTTAAGCAATACAGAGAGAGACAGTTCCTTTGTGGGAACTAACGACGTCGTTATGGGTTACACCTTTTGGCCCTAAAGATTTGTGCTTTGTTGCTTGAACTGGTTCTCGAGAAAATCCAGAAGAAAGCGGCAAGTTCAATTGAGTGAAGCTTGTATGGATTTCTTCCATTAACAATGCTAACAACAAGAAAAGTGGCCATTGGTTTTTGTTTTGGTTGTATACGTCGCTTTCACTTTAGAAATTCAATTTTCTTATTTCATAACTCAACAAGGAGCAAACTTTGCGTTGCAGAAGTCCAGAAAGCTAGCAAATTTATTATTTACTGCAATTCTCGGATCACCGAAAATGGGAGGAATGGGAATATCAAAGAAGCTGAGTCAATCTTTAATCGTATGCCGCGTAAAAACATCATCTCCTGGACTGCCATGTTGACTGCATATGCTGAAAATGGAAAAATTAGGAATGCGCGGGAGTTGTTTGACGAAATGCCTGAGAGAAGTACTGCTTCGTATAATGCGATGATTACGGCTTATGTTAGGAGCGGTCGTGTGGTGGATGAAGCTTATGATTTGTTTTGCAAGATGTCTGAACGAAATGCTGTGACTTATGCGGCCATGGTCACGGGTTTTGTTCAGGTTGGAATGTTTGACAAGGCAGAAGAAGTATATGCTGAGGTTCCCGCCAAATTGAGGGACCCCGTTTGTTCAAATTCGTTGATAAGTGGGTATTTGAAGGATGGGAGGTTGGATGAGGCGGTTCAGATTTTTGAGGGAATGGTAGAGAGAGATGTGGTTTCTTGGAGTTCCATGATTGATGGATACTGCAAAAGTGGGAAGATTGTAGAGGCTAGGGTTATGTTTGATCAGATGCCTGAGAGAAATGTTGTTAGTTGGACAGCAATGATAAATGGGTATATGAAAATGGGATATTTCAGAGATGGCTTTGGTATGTTTTCAAGCATGAGAAGGGAAGGGGATATGTTGGTTAATTCTACTACTTTGACTATAATGTTAGAAGCTTGTGGCAGTCATGGTAAATATCAAGAAGGAATTCAGATACATGGGTTAGTTTCACGGATGGGATTTGCCTTTGACGTATTTTTAGGCAATTCTATCATTACCATGTATTGTAGATTTGGTTGTATCGATGCAGCTACTAAAATATTTCATATCATTAGGAAAAAGGATCTGATTTCTTGGAATTCCTTGATTGCTGGCTATGTTAAGCATGACAAAATTGAAGAAGCTTATAATTTTTTTGAAAAGATGCCAACAAAAGATGTAGTTTCTTGGACGACCATGATTACAGGATTTTCTAGCAAAGGGAATAATAAAAAATCTGTCGAGTTGTTCAAAATGATGCCAGTGAAAGATAATATTGCTTGGACTGCTGTAATTTCAGGGTTTGTGAGTAATGAGGAGTTTGAGGACGCTTTTTGCTGGTTCATTGAGATGCTTAGGAAATCAGTAAGGCCAAATCCACTTACTTTTAGCAGCATGCTTAGTGCTTCAGCTGGTTTGGCAGCATTGAACCAAGGGCTGCAGATCCATGCCCAAGTAGTAAAGCTGTGTCTGGAGTTTGATCTGTCAATTCAAAATTCACTTGTCTCAATGTATTCAAAATGTGGAGATGTAGTTGATGCTTATCGGGCTTTTATCAGTATTAATGAACCCAATACTGTGTCTTTCAACTCAATGATCACTGCATTTGCTCAGAATGGATACGAGGAAGAAGCTCGTAGATTATTTAGGAAAATGCAGAGTGAAGGGCAGGAGCCAAATCAGATTACTTTTCTTGCTGTTTTGTCAGCCTGCAGCCATGGAGGCCTTGTAGAAGTAGGATGGGAGTACTTTAAATCAATGAATTCCTTATATAATATAGAACCAGGGCCCAATCACTACGCGTGCATGGTTGATCTCCTTGGCCGAGCTGGATCTTTAGATGAAGCAATCAATTTGATTCATTCAATGCCTTATGAGCCCCATGCTGGAGTTTGGGGAGCTCTTCTTGGTGCCAGCAGGATTCATTTACGCCTTGATCTTGCACAGATTGCAGCTGAACATCTCACTAAATTGGAGCCTGATAATGCAACTCCTTATGTGGTCTTGTCCAACTTATATTCTATTCTGGGGGAAAAAGGGGATGGCGACCAAGTAAGGATGACCAAGGAATCAAAAGGGATAAGGAAGAGTCCCGGACGTAGTTGGGTGGTACAGTAAGACAAAGTGTATTCACATCTTGCAGGAGATCAAGTGCATAAGGACTATGAAAACATTAAAGTTACAATGTGAACAATTCTGAAACAAATGGAGCAATACAGCTTTTAAGATGAATTACTGGTTACGGGATTGCTTCAGTGTGGTCAATGGTTATAAGATGTAGAACTGTAGATGCCTTACATTCAGTCCTTTTCTTGTGAAAAGAGCCACAGGAGTTCTCAATATTTGGTTTCCTCAAGGTACTGCCTCTTAAGTTAATGAGTGAAGCTCATGGTTTTGTAAGATGTTGGACTGATTCTTCTTGGTCTTTGTTGGATTCGCTTGTGTGTAGTAGTGGAATCCTACTTTGGGAAGATATGATGAGTACAAGTAGAACATATATGTGGAGACCCATAAACTCAAGGGACTAATCTTTTGGGTTTAAAGTGGCATCTTATACAATCTCTCGCTGGTCTGGTACCCAAGTCAAGATGTGAAGGTAATTGTGGAGAGAAAAGTGTTTGATTTTATAATAGGTAATGACAGTTGCTTAGTTCAGGTGTGACCAGATTATTTTCCCAATGATCTGAAAGATAATATCTGTTTGGTCGACTGTGGGGCACTGGATGGATTAAAAGACTGCGTCCCTTATGCCTGCCTTCTTGTGCTTACCGAGAAATTGCTGTTATATAAAGTTAGACAACATTTAGCACTTTCAGCATCTAAGAAGCATTGGCATTGCGTTGTGTGTTAGTGTGTTTTACCTGTCTGATTCTTTGCAAACCACTGCCACTTCTACCGTCGAAATCCCTGCTTTTTAGGGATTTTGACAGCTAGGTTCCTGAGGGCTTTCTCTGTCTGAGACCAGTTTCACCATATAAAATGAAATCACCATGTGTTTTTTTTTTTTTTGTTGGGTACACAAGATCACCATATTCGTTATCAAGTAGTAACACACACCCCATTTCTTGGTTATAGTCTTAGAATACTGACTAAATTTAACCAATGTGTTGATTCAATCCTGGATGAACTTGGGGGAAAATAGGCTTTTTTGAAATTAAAATCATGACTGATGAAGTAACAAGGATGTCCCGTGTACAAGTGTAAGTTATTATTGTCAACTGGAAGAATTAAGAAAAATCTCTTCGCTATTATATACAGCAAGATTCCCTAGACATTTATGGTATTTGCATAATGTAATGGCAAGTAAAACAACTCAAGAGGAACAAGAAAGCATGCAAACTCCTGGACGATAAGCCCATGCTGGGGGCAAGCGAGCATATTTTTCCATTCCTGGTTGCTCATCAAATGGCCTTTCCATGATTTTAAGCAGCCTTCGAACCTCACCAAAATCTCCAAGTTCAGCTGCATCAATGGCACTCTGGCACAGATAGTTCCTGAGGATATATTTAGGGTTTACCGAATCCATTGCAGCCTTCCTTTGCTCATCTGAGATGCCACTAGCAACAAGCTGCAGAAGCAAGGAATCATATGAGATTTCTCGTGCTTGAAAATTCAACAATCGTTTTTCATTTAAAGAAAAAAAAATCAAGCGCAAATAAATTGAAACAGCATGTCATGCTTAATTCTTAAACACAGCAAACTAAATGACACCTAAGGTTTACATGTCAAACTAAAATATTTCAGGAATCTTGTTACCAACATCTTACAGACCAGACAGGTAAGAGGGATTTTCAGCAACCAGGTTATTAAATGTAAGTGCGTGAGAATGAAAACATTGACAGAAGCAATAAGGCTTATATACCTCTTGTCTGTAGGATTGCACCCAACTTTTCCATGACTCCTTGCGCTCCTGGCCAATATCCAGCAGAACAGCCTTCAGTGGAACCAACAACTCCTCTTCTGAATTGTTTTGATCTGTTTTGATATTGGAAAGTGACCGGAAAAAATTTGTGTAGTCAACTTTGTCAACAGCCATATTATTGAGCAGTTTACTGATCAGCTGCTTATTGTATTTTGCTAGGCCAAGTTTCCTAGTCATTATGGCTTGATACTCATCCATAAATTTTGTTCCATACCTGTAATGAGAAAGGCATGATTATGGGAGCCTTGGTTTCAAATTAGAAGAAAGATCAAAATTACACATACCTTTCCATGGCATAATTAGCTTCTTTATCATTTATCAACTGGGCAGCTGAAAGAGTTGTAGCAAACTGTGCAATATTCCATAGGCCAATATCAGGCTGATTTGCAAAACAGTATCTTCTCCCTGGAATATCTGTTGTATTTGGCGTGTAACTAGGATCAAAAGCATCCAAAAATCCAAAAGGACCATAATCAATTGTCAGACCCAAAATGCTCATGTTGTCAGTGTTCAGCACACCATGAGTAAAACCAACTCCCTGCCAGCTTGCAATCAAAGAAGCAGTATGATCAGCAACCTCCACTGCCCATGCTGAATAAACCCAAACACAAAGCAAAAAAAGAAAAAATTTAGATTGGTTCCTAAGAAAGTGTTCTGTCTAGAAACCATCAAGTAATGTCACAGACCATCATGATGAATCCAATATATGTACCTGCATACTTATTTGAGGTTAGATCCACGACTGAATGATCCTCATCTCCAGTGCTAAAAGACAAACTCTCACTTCTACTCATGTTCTCAAGATGAGGGAAGTGATGTCTAATGGCATAGTCTGCCAAAGTACGAACAATCTCAAGGTCCTCTTTTCCCCTTGAAGCATGAATTTGGAAAGAACCAAAGCGCAGAAAGGACTGTGCAACTCTGCAAACAATTGCACCTGGCTCATCCTTTGGATTACCACTGCAATGAGAGATAAAATTCAAATTAAAGACCCACCCCCTTCATTCTAAAGCCTCTGGAATAGAATGATTGAAATGAGGACAATTCTTGCTTGTAACTCAAAAGGTTCTAAGAGTCTTAGATCTTCAACACCTAGAGTGACATCTAAATGTTTTAAGTTAGGATGGAAGCGTCAGTCTACAACATGTTTATCATAATTGAATTCCTGAAAAACTTACTCATAAAACATGTCTCGAGTCACATATTTTCCCGTTGTCACAAGACAAAGGGCACGGGTTGTTGGGATTCCAAGAAAGTGCATTGCTTCACTGCAAAGGAATTCCCGAATGCTACTACGCAGCACAGCAAGACCATCCGCAAAACGACTATATGGTGTCTTCCCAGCACCTTTAAGCTGCAATTCCCACCTTTCAGACTTTGAATTCAGAATCTCCCCAAGAGTTATTGCACGGCCATCACCTAACTGGCCAGCCCACATGCCAAATTGATGCCCTCCATAGCACTGTGCATAAGGCACCCTGCAAGCAAGAGGTATCAATGAAGAAGAAACATAACTAAGAAAGGACATGACAATGATCCATAAAACAACTCGATAAAGAATACTTACGCTCCCACCAAAGGAGAAGCCCCGGAAAACAAGAGGGGAAAATCTGTCCTCTCAAATCTGTAATTCAAAAAGTGAGTTCTATTGAGCACCAGGTCATAATTGGAAGCAATAAATGTGGATACAAAGAATAAAAATAAAAATCCTTGTTTCTCCTCAAAACAAAGTTTCTAGTAGTATTATTCTCCTACTTGTAATCCTTTAAACATGATAAATTGAATACAAAACCACAAGAATTCATTCTCGCCCACCCATGTTTAGTTTTCCTTTAACAAAATAGCAGCAGCATTGATGGGAGGTGGAACCGTGGAGGAGAAAGCAAAACTTACTCTTTAGGGTCCAAATCAAACAACTTGGCAACTGAATCTGACCATGCAACAAGCTGAGGATTCTCCACTTCAGCCGATGGAGAAACTTTTGAATAACACGCATGAAATACCTATAGGTTATGAAGAAAATCACAAAACCAAAGACAAGATACAGCCATTTAATTTCCACCTCGAGTAAAGATCAAATTTTTATTTAAATAAATAAGAAAAGTTATGTTCTTACCATCAGGGAAAGTGATAACCAGACAAAATAAATATTATCAACAAAAATAATAGAGCTGGAACTAAAACCTGGCGAGGAATGTTATCGCTTCGGGGATCACCAGGCAGTTCTCTAACAAAGGAGTGGTCCCAGTTCAGATCTTCAAGCTTCAATTTAACATTTTTTCTGTCGCCGTCGCCACTCTGATCATCCTCCAAGCTCTGATTCTTGAAATCGTTCGTCACCGACTCGAGTGACGCCGCTGCGTCCTGTGAGGGAGAGTCCATGCGAACGCTGCCGCCGGTGCTGACGCAGCATGCAAGGGAAGGCACCGGACGGGAAGGACGAAGAAAGGATCGGAAATTCGTAGCAGAGGAGAGATAGAAGCGAGATTTAGGAGTAGAACGGAGGAAGGAGCGGAGGCAGAGGGAAGTCAGAGAAGGGAACTGTGATTTTGCAGAAAAATGAAAAATCATTTTTTTCTTCTTTTTCTTTTGCATTTTTCCGGAAATTTTTAGATATTCGGTGGCCTTCTCAGCAGTCCGTTTTCTCGGTTTTATTTTTATTTTTGAAATATAAATAAAATGACAATACCATATTTTAATTTTAGCTCTAAATTTTAATCTCAAATTGATGGTAAGTCCCTCAACTAACATTTGATTTGATAAACACTCCGACATCTTTGTGGGTGTAACATATTAGTTGTGGAATCACATGAGTAGGTTCATGGATTAGATGAACCTAAACATGCCTTAAACATCTATTAATTACTTTTTTTTGGTTTTTTTTACCTTCTTTTAATGTAAATGTCACTCTTGCACTCTTGAGATTTGTTTTAAATGATGATAAAACTTTTTCCAACAAAGATTAACATGTCATCTACACTAAAACGAAAATGCTACAAAAGAAAAGTGGACAAAAAAATTAATTGTAATTGAACGTATAGTCATGAATTACATTATCTTGTAGTATTTGTTAACTTTAGGTCAATCAATTCTGCTAGAGAAAATCGAAGGTATTTTAGCTGCTTTTTAAGTTAAAGTTTCTACCAATAATGTAAGATAAAGTTTGAGGACTTAAAAATATGGTTTTGCCAAAAAAAATTGCAAGTTAAAGGAATGAAAAATAAAAAGGAAAATTTTTATATTTTTTTATTTATTTATTTTGGGGCAAAATCAGCGATCGCAAACGGAAACGGCAACAAGTTTCGGACAAAACGACCTTAACGGAACTCAAACTCAATTATTAACTAAAAAAATAAAGCACAATAGAAATTTCAAGTCCGCGTTCTTTCTCTCTCCTCCCTGAAAGACACACACACCCTTCGTCAAATCAAAATCTAGCGCAATTCTATCTCTAAACCCTAGTTTCGCCCCCAAATTGTTCGTTGAAATCACTCCCTGAGTCTTCTAATCTCCAGATTTGAGCTCAGAATTCATCGAAAAACAAGGAAGGCTGAATTTTTTCATGATTGGGCAAATTCGGTTCTCTCGCGTCACTTTTTAACCTCGAATTCACTTTTCTGGTACTTATCTGATGGGCTATTGCTTTTAATTTCAGCAATTTTTGGTGGAATAATCAGTTTTTTATTTCTTCGAGTAGCTGGAAGTTTATTTTTTTCTGGAAGAAATTGATCTGATTTCGGTCTTTTTTGGTGATTGGTAGCGTCCTGAGGTTAAATTTTGAATGCTTGTGGTGAACTAATATGTCAATTGATCATCACAAGGTGATTTTGTTGGAGCTGTGGGTGAAAGATATTGGATTTTCGCAGTATTGAGTTATTGGATGCAAAGTTTTGGTTCGAAGAAGCTTGGGATGAAATAAAATGATTTGAACCATTTTTGTAAGTTCATACAAGTTTTGGTTATCTCTGAGTTTTTTTTGTAATTGTCTTCTGGAGGCTAAATTTTGTGGGGTAGAATTTGTCTTGATAAATTTTGCTCAAATTTTTACTTTAATATGCTTTGTGTTTGATTTGAAGCAGAAAAGGTGGCAATAGTTTGAATTTTAGAATGATGGGTAGCAACTAGCAACCAGTAGGTCCTGTGCTTAGAATTTTGGCAGCGGTTATGTAATTAATTATTGCAGTTCAAAGATTGAAAATTTGAAATAGAAGTTTGGAGGGTGTATACTTGATTTAGGTTGAAATTGAAACTGAAATTTCTGACCTCAATGGTTTTTAATTGTTGTCACTTTTCAGGTGTTTGTACCTTGCCTAAAATAGTGGCTCACTGTGGTTTTTGGGTTGGTGCAAAGTCCTTTCATAGAGCTGAGTGAAGATTTGATTTGAAGGAACTACCATGGACTATGGGCTTTCTGATAGCAGTGGTGAGTTAAGTTAACAATTGTGTTTTTACTTTTAGAAAAAAAATTTTAAACAAAAAAAATGAATTGAGGGAGGAAATAACTTTGATTTCTCGGCCTTCTAAAGTCAGTTTGTGAAATGCAAAAAAGAAAAACGTCTAATTTTGGTGATAATTGACAACTACCATTTACCTTGCACAAATTGCTAATTCAATAGGAGAAAATTTTGATGTATTCTGCATACATTGCAAGGTGTTAATATTTTCCGCAAGGTTATTGAATAATTTTTTATGCATGAGATGCTTAAATCTCTTCCCCTCTGCTGGTGATAATGGCAGAAGGATTTTGTTCTTTTTTGCTAAATTCCTATAAGTTTGCTCCTGCATTCAGAATTGGCACCTTAAATAGTGAATTTATTTTGTCTGAAAAAATTTTAGGAACAGATGATGACCTCCCTCCATCACACCAAAATAGATTTCAGAGAGGTCAGGCAGCAGTGAATGGAAGACCTGCAATTGTCGGCTCTGCTCCATCATTACCAAGGGTGCAAGGTGACATGGAAACTCAAATACACTTCATTGAGCAAGAAGCATATATTTCCGTTTTGCGGGCCTTCAAAGCTCAATCAGATGCCATAACTTGGGTATCTTTCATATTCTTCATACTGATTTGAATATTTAATATACTCAAAAGCAATTTAAATAAGTATATGAAATGTGTGTTTCCCCCTACAGGAAAAGGAGAGTTTAATTACTGAACTTAGAAAGGAGTTGAGAGTATCTGATGAGGAACACAGGGAGCTTCTATCAAGAGTTAATGCTGATGACGTAATTCGAAGGATAAGGTCTGATTATACTATTCCATGCTCTATTGAGTGGCTTTATCAAATATGTAGTGTCTAGTCAGTTCTGAATTTTGATGGGGAGTATGATCAATCATTGCTGTTAGGGAATGGAGAAAGGCAGGTGGGCTCCAGCCTGGAATGCTCGGTACCACTCAGCCTGTTCACAACCCCGTACCTAGTCCTACTGCTTCAGGATCACGCAAGAAGCAAAAAACATCACAGTCTGTGGCTTCATTGTCTATGGGAGCACCATCTCCTGCATTGCATCCTTCTATGCAGCCATCATCATCAACCCTGAGACGAGGCCCTCCTCCAGGGGCTAAGAGCAAGAAGACAAAATCTGTAAGTTAAATGGTTTCAAGAAAAGAGACGATTGCACATATTTGGATTTCATTATTAACTGCATTTTTGTGAAGATCATTTATCTGCTGCATCCTCAATGAAATCAATGCAGCAACCCTCTGCAGCTCTTCCTGGAAGATCCCAGCCTGTTAATCGTGGCTCCTCAGGGCCCTTTGTAACAAATGGACCTGCTGGGGCAGCAACCCATGATCAATTAATTGGAAAGAAAGTTTGGACAAGGTGGCCTGAAGACAACCATTTTTATGAGGCTGTTATAACTGACTATAATGCAGATGAGGTATGTTTTTGAGTGTTGTTTTTCTTGGTATTCTGCTATTTGATAAAACCTTTTGGTGACATGTTTTCCCCCATGTTTGTAGGGGCGTCATGCTTTGGTTTATGATATAAATACAGCAGATGAAACATGGGAATGGGTCAATCTCAAAGAGGTAAAATTGTTGTCATTTAGTACTACTTCATGCAATGTATCATTACCTTTTTGAACCTTCTCTTGTCTAAGTTCTTAATGAAACATGGGAATGGGTCAATCTCAAAAAGATAAAGTAGTTGTCATTCAGTACTACTTCATGCAACTCATCATTACTTTTTTGTCTCCTTATGTAACTATTGAGAGACCAGATATGCTATTCGTTACTTAATTCAAAATGAGCCTTAAGATGGAATTATGTGTTATTCATTCCTCTCTGACCATACTGTAAAACATCAGAATTTGTTCTTTCTGGGATATCCTATCTGCTGCTGATTGTTATGTCGTATAATGGTAGATTTCTCCTGAAGATATTAGATGGGAAAGTGATGATCCCAGAATTTCCCGTAAAGGTGGTCGCCCTGGACCAGGCCGTGGCATTAAGAAGTCCATGCCACGTGGTGGTGGTGTCACTGGTGCAGGAAGAGGTAGAGGAACTATAAAGGGTCAGCCCAAGAAAGATTTTCCATTGTCACAAAATGGGGTTGGTAGAAAGGCTCTGGATGATATTGAGATACTTCACACCGATACTTTAATTAAGGAGGTATGATTGCTGCAAGACCATAATTAACTACAATTGGCAAATATGGTAAAATTCATGTTTCTAAGTGGAAGAAAGTTTAACAGGTAGAAAAAGTTTTTGGTGCAAGTCATCCCGATCCAACAGAGATAGAGAAAGCAAAGAAAGTGTTGAAAGTAAGAATCCAATATTTTCCCAAGTTTTTCTTGCACTGTTATGTCTATTGGAGTTATTACCATGGATCCTTTATATTGCAGGAGCATGAACAAGCCCTAGTTGATGCAATTGCAAGGCTTGAAGACGCATCTGACGGTGAAAGTGGTAATAACTAATTACACTTAATCATGTTATATGATACCTAAAATAAAGACGCCACGTCTTCTGTTGTATCATCTCAAATGTACCATTTGAATATTCAATTTTACCCATGGCAATGGCATACAATTTTTTGATAAATTATTGTAGTGTTCTCTTCCTACATGAGCATTGGCCACTAAAATTTTAGCGTCTGCAAGATGAACGATTTAGATTTTAAAGATTTTGAGCGTTATTTTGACTGATGATTTAAGATCTCTCACTCCCTCAAGTCTCAAGTTCCCTTACCCTTTTAGTAAGGGATTTAGGTACTTTAGGGGTGGTAATATCGTTTTACTGCTTTGTTGATGATGAAAAATATGCAATATATTGTTTTATTTATTTGTTTGGCATCAAAACAGATGGAGAGCAGCCATTCTCACAAGGACAATCTCTGGATCAAGATCGACCATGGAGAAAACGACAGTATGATGAGGTGGGTGAAGGACGAACAATTGAAAGATCAGATGCAAATAAAATGGCTAGAGATGGTCACCAAGATGTAGCTGATGCTATGCGATTTTAGATCTCAGATTTCTTTGTACTAATAGTCCTTGGCTTGTTGCCTTCTTAGTGGGTTGATTAGATTTAGCCTTAATGTAAGTTGGGTTTTTTTTTTTTTTTCTTATTAACTCGAATCTAGGAAAACCTGTATAAAATTTTCTTTAACAGTGAATAAACTTGACCATGTTTTCGCTTTCATAAGATTTTGCTACCCTCTTGTTCCATCAAGAACATCTGAGCAGAGTACAGAACATGGCTATATCTTCTGTTCCTGTTGGATCAAGACGTAATTAGAATCCTGTACCAGATATTGCAACATTTATTGGAATCTGGTTTTTTCACTGTGATGTAACAGGGCTGCACGGAATATGAATCAAAGTGTCTAATTCCTGCAAATAAAGCAAAGATATGAATATCAGTAAGATATATTATCATGCAAACAATTCTGAAGCTCGCTGGTTGTTTGCAAGGAATTCTACCAAACACCATTTATAAGGTATTAATATCTTAGAATTGCTGGCTGCTGCTACTACAATGATGCTATAAATTCACGGATAAGATTCACCATCTTGAGCATCAAAAGCAGGACCTTCCTTTTGGAAATGGCTTACTCTTTCAATAAAATGTGTTTCGTTTTGTCCTGCTGCAGAGCTCAGCTTGTTCTCCAGCTGCTTCACAATGATAAGCCCATCCCAAGTTCCCATAATGAAGAGGTTTCTGGGATTGCAGGATTACCTTGTGGTGGTGCCTGAAAAGAATTGAGGCTGTCATGCCAAAAGGGTACCCCAGATTTACATAGCCCACAACTTCCACAATTTCGTCAACTGCAGAACCTGCAATTGGTGCACCTGTGACAGAAGATAAGAAATCAGTTATTAAAGATCTACAGAGTCCCATAATCCCATTGACAGCAGATTACGACATTGCAATTGTAGTAATAACATTGTCTAAATCCCTCCAAACATCATAATAGCAATGTATTTTTCTTCTGGTCAAGTAATAAATAGCCATATTTAGAACTAGAAGACTATACATTTAATTAACACTCACAAAATCAGTTGTGAAGCTACTAAACTTTGCCTAAGATTGCAATCAAAATGTCCAGTATCTGGCTTCCAATATTCTTCATGCCTCAGCACATATTTCTCAGTATAACATAATTCCAGATAATATGCTAATTTACCAATAGCCATTTGTCCATGAAACCATCTGACTCCTACATTTAAGCAGGCCATCTGAATTGCCATCCAATGTGCATAGTCTATTCTCAAATGATGTTTTAAATATTTTAAGAGGC